GGAGTTGGAAGAGGCTGGGATATTTTCCCTTCATCTGCTAAGCTGGTATAGCATCTTTAAGTACTAAATGCCAGTAGTAATGATGTCCCTTAGTCAATGTAGATTTTATTTTTGTTGCCATAAGATCAGTCTGTGCATTTTCATCTATATCCTCCAAGGTTATCACTGGTTAAGTGTTAACAATGTTATCACTATTAAGTGATGCTCCTGAGGTTAAGCAGTGTTAAGAAAAACCCTTCGTTAAAGCAGCATGGGAGTTCTTGTGACTGCACAATTAGTTGTGTGAGTGCCCCTCTGTTGCTGTGCCTCCCACAACACAGGGAGTAGGGGTTTTTCCTGATCTTCATAAAATATGCACTGTTGTAGAATGGCAGTGCAAGTTGCAAGTGGAGATGCCCACGGGGAAAGAAAGGGGATGCTGGTTTCAATGTCAGTCCCTTTGAGCCAGAATCATTCCCCTTATGTTCCTACCATTGCCAGCAAGTTGCACTTTGATCAGGTTATCAGCGCATTTCCTGGGGATTTAGTTCTTGCAGTTCATATTAAGAGAAATGCAAATACTCATCAGTCTGGAGCATTCCCCACTACCTCAGTCTGTTTTCTGATTTTGTGTTTGCTGGTTGTAAATGAGTACTGTCATCTGTCTTAGAGTAGCCAGCCATTGGATGGGATGTTGGTCTTTGCTTTTTCATAGGCTTATGTTTATACATATACCTCATCAATTATGATGAAAATTACATGATTTCAAGACCTTCCTGAGAAGATAGCTTTCTCCTCTGCTTTTGAACTCAGGCTGTTCAGGTACCCACTCAGAGCAACTTTGTATGTATCAGCCAGTTCTTGATGTAAACAACATAGAAATGTTAATGGGAAAAAAAAATGTTGGCTGTTCTTTGTTTCTGCTTTTTTGTTCATTTTGCTAATCTGGCTGCATGTGCTATGGAAATTTCCTATATTAATTTCTGTTTTCCTCAATTATTGTTAAAATGCTAGTAAGGTATAAAAATGTGGGGTTTGTGAGATGGTTTGCATTTCTAATGTAAAAATTGGTTTGAACTTTAATATGCCTTTACCACTGAATTGCATCAGGCTTTTATTCATGTGCAAAGAGCCATGTGGGCATCTGTTGCTCTACTTTGTCTCATCTTCATCATTTTACATTTCAGGTTGGTATTTACTATGCTCTTTGTATTATTTGCTTAGTACTTCCACTGTAATTCTTCTTTCATCTATATTTCTATTCTGCTGTTAATACCAAGCACACATAATACCATCAAACTCGGTTTTGATCCTGGACAAACATACTAGTCTGGGTCTGCTTTTGAAATGTTGATTCTTGGCTCATAATTTGTCTTCACAAAAGTAATCTAAGATTGATCCAAGATTTTCTGCAATCTTGAAATGCCTGAAACTTTCTTTCCAGGAAGCTGGAGCCTGTAACATCTTATATGACCATAAATTATTTTTGTCTCATGTAGGTTGAGCTACTTTCCTTGCCCTACCTGTTTGCTTTCAAGATCCATTTTGCTTTGGTGGTAATACCTGTTAGGTCTTTTTATGAATGAACTTAACTCACTAGCCCTGAGAGAGGGAAGTTAGTTTTTGTCCAGGTTAATGAATTATCCCACTCAGCAAGAGCCTGATGAATGCCAGAACTGGCAGGTGGACAAAGGCCAAGGAAAGGACTTCAGAATAAGAAAACTCATTTTGGCCTCCTAAGGCTGCCTCATGTAATTTTGCCTTCTTTACAGAATTTATTTGGCTTAGTTAGGAAAAGCTAAAGTGTGTGGTTAGTTTCCCTGAGCATCCCAAATAGACTGAGAGAGATACTTTAGTTAAAAATTATTTATTCTGACAATTATTTATGTAACTTACATATATCATCTAAAGATTTTATTAAAGGTACAGATAAAGGAATGAAACAATGTACTCTGTTTTATTTTTCCTTCTCTTAACAATTTTTCTGTTCTTGAAGTCAGAGAAACATAATTTGCCATGTGCCTGTTTGAGTTGATTGCTACCTCACACTAACACCCTTCCTGAAAAAGTTTTATCACAGCTGAGCATCAGCATTCAACCTTTTTTGCAGCATTTATTTTAAAATTACTTCAAAGGCACCTTGTTGAGGTGTGGCTAGGAATAATCCATGATTCATTAGCTCACTTCAAGCATATAATCTGCAAAACTTCTGATAAAGATGCAGGTTAAACCACATTAACCCTGGTAGTGTTCCTCACCTGTTCCTCACCTATGGAACAAGTACATTCTCAGTTGACCTACTGAAAAGGTATTTACTGATTATCTGTTTAGTACAGCATAGAGAACCATGGCAGGTACACCAAGAAGGCCTAACGTGACACTTCCAGGGAAAGCACTGCACAACCTGACATGAATTTGTGTAGAAGACTAACTCTGAGGTGAAGGGAAATCATAGATAATGATCTGGTTTTGAGCTCCTGGAAAATGCTCTACTCATTGCTGCATGCATTACATGCTGACAGTTAAGCAGCTGCATCATCTCTTGCACACAGTAGGTCATTTTCACTCTCTTCATAATGCTGCAGTTGCTATTTCTAGAGCATAGAGTGTAAGCTACTTAATCACTCAGTAATTACTGAAGTCTCTAGAATGGCAAATGCATACATTTTATTTATGTATTTTGAAATACATAAAACCTCTTTTATTCTCTTGTGATGTGTGTTACTCTACAGAGAACTTCTGTTGGCTGAGGGAGGCATAACCTTTCACTGACTGGAGTTATTAAAACCAGGCTGACACCAAGCCTGTGTGAACAGATTGAAGGGGGAAAAAGGTTTGCAAGGAAAAAAACCCCAAAGTTCTTTAAAAGTAGAATTTCCTATAATTGCAGAGTTACCATATGAAGCATGGAACTAACTCAAACAGTTTTTCTGTGGTTTTGACTGAAGAACCTATAGCTAACTGCTTTCTTTTGAGGTGGGATGGAATGTACAGGTCAAAGTAAAAGCCATACAGAGGAACTGTCATTGCTACTCACAGAAGGGTAAAAACTGTGCTATAAACCTAATCTCCTACCTTTTACACCAACCAGCCTGAATGTTCAATAAATTCAGAAGCTAAATCCATTTTTACTTACGTGTTTATAAAATGCCGAAGTTGTAATTTACAGTAATGATATGAAAATGTTAAATGGGTCTAGTTTCTTTGGCATTGGGACTGTCCTGTTCCTTGTCAAGCAGATCATGAGCCATGGCTGTTTGTTGATTACAACACTGAAACAAGAAGTACAAAGAAACAGAAAGAACAAGCCGTAAGTTTTGCTATTCTCATTATCATTTTAGAAATAAATTTGACAACATGCATGTAGATTGTGAGAATGGCTGCATCACCTGTCAAGCTAGGGATAAAACAAGGGCAGCTGGGGTCAGAAGGAGCAAAAATATTTTCTTGTTTTCAGTGCCTTTCCTGACAGGCAGTACACAAAGTGGAGGATGCTTCCAGCTTTGACCTTGGGAACAGTGGGGGAGTCAAAAGGAGACCAAGAGGCCTCACTGCTCTCACTTGTACCACTTCCTCGTACCTTCAGCTACATGGCTTGAAACTGGAATAGATCGTTCCAAGAGTGCCCTCTGTGGGAGACGAGTGGGCTTAGGAACCCAGATGAGACAGCAGCCCCACCAAAATGGGGAAGGAGGACTAGGGTATCTATTTTTCCCCCAATTCTATTAGTTGGCCTGAAATAACACACTACCTATGGCAAGGGAGGACTATGAAATAAAGGCACAGAGTTCTTTGCTGGGCTGTTCCCTTTGTGCAAGAGAGTAAAGTGCACCCTCAAAGCCTGTTAATTGAAGATGCAAGCTATCAGCATGCTAAAGAATACACACACTATCCAGATTGTTTTGATTGGAATGTACTAGTGTTACCAAATAACCATATCTCATTTCTGTAGTCAGTATCACAGCCTCAGAGTAAAGAGTACTAATATGCTGCCTGCCAAAAGGACAGACAGATTTCATGTAATGGAGCTGTAGGACTGAAAGAGCTGATGCTGATTATTTACTGTCATTATTGCTCCAGTCTTGGTGGTGCCAACATTCAAATGATATTGTTTGCATTCAGCTGTTATGAGACACTGAACTATGAAACACAAGAGATTTAGAAAGGTGAAAAACATCAATTAGGATACTTTGATTTTTATAAATACAGCTCTTAGATCTTGCCATACCTATCTCTGTCAAATTGAAGAGCTCTTACTCAATTTCTGTTCCTCACCGATTGGTACTAGAACACACTCAGGTCTTTCATTTTTTGCTGTTAATCTTATGCACAGTGGACATTTCGATTTTCCTGGATTCCCCCCTGGATATTTCCGCCAAATACTGAATGTTGAACTAAATGCAGCAGCAAGTGTAGCAGCGTGCAGAGGAATACAAGCGTGTGGGAGTCCGCCTGGCGCGGGGGTGCTGCGGGGGAGCGCTGCTGCTCGACGACCCGCCCGCGTTCTCCTCAGCTGCTGCTCCGTGAGAGCGCCCCAGCCTTGAGCTACGGACTGGAACCATCTCTTACTCAGTGTCGGTTCACCGGTGCCGCAGGGCTTTGGCCACCCCGTGCTGCTTTACAGCACGACACCACTTCCCCGGGGCCCCTTTCCTCTCTCCTCACCGCCCGCCGCAACTCTGCGGCCACTCCCCGGGAGGCGCAATTCCCGGGGACGGACGGGCGCCCGGCACCGCCCCGCGCGCCCGGCTCGCCCAATCAGAGCACCCGCCTCTCACTCCGCGGCATGCTGGGAGCTGTAGTCCGGGGCCTGCAAATCCGCGCGGCGGGGCAATCTCGCTGAACACCATTGCCCAGAAAGCTCCACGGCGGCGACGCCCCGGGCCGATTTGCCCCTGAAGGCGGTGTCTCGAGCAGAGTAGGAGGCGGGGCGGGCCAATAGCGGGCCAGGGCAGGGCTGCGCCGGGGCTCGCGGCCAATCGGAGCCCTCCGAGAGCCGGGAGGGGCGGGGCGGCGGGCGCGGGACGGAAGTGCGGCAGCGGAGCGGCCCCGGCGGTGCGTGAGCGGCGGCCGCGGCCCCGCGCGTGTGGGGCGGGGGCTGAGGGCGGCCCACAGGAGCCGGCTCGGCTCCGGGAGCGGGGAGCGGCACGGGGCGGCGCCGGGCGGCAAAAGTGCAGCTCCAAGTAGATGCGTTGTGAGAGCAGCGGCTTGCGCGCGTGTTAAGGGCGTTCCTCCTGTGCCTGCAGGTCCGGGAGCAGCCCGGTTCCCGCGGCCCCGGAATGGCTGCCGGGCTGCCTCCCGATGCGCTGGGTCGGCGGGTCGCCTGTGGCACCGACTACGGGACTGTGCGCTATGTGGGCAGCGTGTCTCCTACTGCAGGTAACTGCCACACAAGTAATAATCTTCACGTTTTATGGCTCTTCTCATGGTTCTACTCATGTTGTTTTTCATTAAAAAAACCCAACAGCGTCGAGTAAAACGTGGCAATTTACAACTTGATTTTCCTCATTGTTCTTGTGTAAATGTGGTGACTTCTAATCTGCGTGAGGTTTTTAGGTTTTTTTCTTAAAGAAGTCAGAGTTGTCAAAAGGAGTGTAAGAAGAACTTCACAGTCTTTTCCCTGATCTCTGTGCAGACAGTCAGGAAGGTGAGAGGTAGATCTCCAGACCAGGTGACAACATATTGTGTTGGGTTTGTTGTCAAGGCTCTGGGAGTGGCAGGGGCTACAGGGGTGGCATCTGCCACCAGAGAAGCTGCCAGAAGCTTTCTCCATGTCCTACAGAGCCGCTGCCAGCCGGCTCCAGGGTGGGCCTGCCACTGGCCAAGGCTGAGCCCGTCAGTAATAGTAGTTGCACCTCGGTGAAACCTTCTTTAAGAAGGGGAAGGAAAAGAGACTCTTTGCACGAAGGTAGCTGTGGCCAGAGAAGAGCTGAGTGAGAATATGTGTGAGGAACAGCCCTGCAGACACAAGGGTCCATGAAGAAGGAGAGGAAAGACATACTCCACACTCTGGACAGGAGATTCCCCTGCAGATCTACTGAGACACACACGCTGTTTCCTGGCAGCCCAGGGGGTCAGCGGGGGTTCAGAGATCCACCTGCTGCCCATGGAGGAGGCACACACAGGTGGATGTCTGAAAGGAAGTGGTGACCACACCAGAGCAGGCTCCTGGTAGACCGGAGAGATAAGCCCTGCTGGAGCAGGTTTCCTGGTGGGTCTTGTGTCCTGGAGTAGCCTTTTCCTGAAGGACTACACCCCAGGAACAAAGGAAGGGGTGTAGTTCCAAAGGAAGCATGCTGTAGCCTGTAGGGAGGAGTTATGTTGCACCATTCCATGGATGACTGTCTTGTATGGGAGGAGCCTGCACTGGAGCAGGGGAAGGACCACCCTCTTTGAGGAGGAAGCAGCAGAAATAAGTTTTGATGAACTGACTGTAACCCCCATTCTCCACCTCTCTGTACCTCTCAGGGGAGGAGGTAGAGCCCAGGAAAAAGTGAGAGCTGAGGTGGGGGTATTTTTAAGATTTGTTTTACTTCTCAGTAGGCTACTCTGATTCTGGTTGATAATGAATTCAGTTGCTTTCCCCAAGTCATGTTTTGCCCGTGACAGTAATCAGTGGGTGATCTCTCCCTGTCCTAATCTCAGCTCATGAGCCTCTTGTTGTGTTTTTTCTCCCCTACTCAGCTGAGGAGGGGAGTGACAGAGTGGCTTTGGGTGGGCACCTGGTATCTAGCCTGGGCCAACCCACTATAGATGTTCAAATTTATGGGAAGATTCCTGATGCTTGGAAGAAGACCAGCCTTGCATACAGTTCTAGAAGAGGCAAGAAGGATGACCAGGAAATGTAGACTCATTAGCCTCACTTCAGTTTTGGGAAAGATGACATAGCATGTTTCCTTGGAATCCACTTCCAAGCCTGCGAAGGACAAGATGGTAGTTGGGAGTATTTGGTACTTGTAAATAAGAAGAAGTTGTGCTTGGTAGATGTAATTACTTTCTACGATGATATGACTGTGAATGTGGATGAAGGGAGTACAAATCAATATTCCTTGACTTCAGTAAGTCTTTGAATAATGTCTTCGTAAAGAATTTTATTTGGAAGCTGAAGAAATACAAGGTTAATGGACTGTTAAATTATTTGAAAGTTGTCAAGTGAAAAAGTAATTAAAGACTTGATATCTGTAATGAGTGAGTACTACCAAAGTAAACGCTGGGGTGTGTATTGTTTCATGTATTCCTCAGTGATTTGGGTGATGAACAGTGTTCAACCTCAAATGGCTGCTGTGATGCAAGGTAGAATTGCAATCCAGCTCAATGTTTATGAACTTGAGGTTTGAACCCAAGAGATTCAAGGAGGATAAATTTCTGCATGTAGTATGGACCAGAAAGTATTAGTGACTCAGAGAGTCTGTTGCAAAGGGCTTGGGAGTGAAGTTGGATACTGTTATGAATATGAGCCAGCAGTGACCCCTGTAACAAGCAGAGATACATTTTGTACTGGGTTACCTTAGAGGGGAGTGATGAGCGTGGCCTGCTAGTTAAAGGAAGCTCTTATCCCTCTCTGGGAATGGGGTTCTTGACAAGGTTACCCTTGGAATAATGTATCTGCTGTGGAGCTATTCCAGTTCGAGAGGGATGCAGGCAAACTTGAGAGGATCTCAGAGGTCTCCTCTTTTGAGGAGTCTTGGAAGGCTACCAGGGTGGTGAAGGGCACTGACCATACACATGTGTTGTGAAGAGGTTGAGGGATCTGGGCTTGGTTAATGTGGTGAAGAGAAGTAAAAGCGCCATCCAATGGCTTCCTGCAACTGTTTGACAGCTGGGTAGAAAGGTGGCAGAGCCAAACTCTCCTTACAAGTGCTAGATTATACAGTAAGGGATGATGGCCACAGCAGGAAAACCTTTCCCATTACCTTGCTACACTACAATGCAGCCCTGGAATATGCTCACCAGATGTGTTGCAATCTTTCTCTCCTCGGAAATTTTCAGGGTCTGGCTAGGTAACAAATTACCCGACTGACTTTTTTAGGGGGAGGAGTAGTGCGATTTCGAAATGGAACAGGAGGAAAAGGATGGCTACCAGGAAAAAGCAGATTGAGAAGGGGAGTCGAGCGGAACCTAGTATTGGAATAAGAATCCCAGTATAACCAGTTAGATTGTGCCTGGGTCAGTGTGACCCTCGCTGCTGAGCCAAAGGCGGCTTCTGTGGTTCTTTACCCCAGAGATACCTTGGCTGCTGGAGATTGCAGCGGGGCACTGGTGCAAGTCCAGGCTTGTCAGGAACTCCGTTTACCTCAGGAGAGAGAGCTTCTGGCGATGGTGAAGAGAAAAGGAGAGGATTCTGCTGGAGGGTTGCCAGATGTTTATTCCATGGTTACAGAGGTCTGAACCAGGGCAACTGCTGCCAACAGAATGGAGGCCGCATGGTCTGATTAACCTTTTAAGCTCCGGGACAGGGGAAGGGGAGGGGACAGGTGAGCTACCAACCAGGTGAAAGGGGCAGGGTCTCAAGGGACTAGGGACACGTATCCAATGTCCCCCAGGCCTGAGGGACCAACCACACGACGCCTTGCTGGAATCTTAAGCCTGATTGACAGGACTCACTCAGCAAGGGGGAAGGGAGAGAGGCATAGGCACACCTGGGAAGGGACCCTGAAGTTTAAAAGAAGGACATTGCAACACACCGCAACAACCTAGGGGGTCGAATCCGCATTCGTATGGGGATAGCTTTTCTGAGTCTGGGCTTGTTTGGGCAAGTCAAAAGTTTAGTGCAGTTAGGAGGATGCTCAGGGTTAGTGATAGGGTTAGTATGAATACGATTATGTTTATTACTCTTCTCTGGGTTTAAACCAGATTTTAAGGATTGGAAGTCGATTGTAATTAATATACTAGAGGAGTAAGATCCTCATCAGTAGATTGAGATATGGAGGAATAATCATACAATGTCTATGAAGTGTCAGTATCAGGCGGCTGCTTCAGATCCGAAGTGGTGGTTCGATGTGAAGTGGTATTTAATTAGGCGTAGGAGACATACTGGTAGAAATGTAGATAATCTCCTGCTTTGACAGAGGTTAGGCTGAGTGAACTCAAAGGTTCTTTCCAGCCGTGCTTTCTATGGATATGATGCTGTAAAATTGAAAAAGTATCAACCATTTTTTTTCAGGAATTTGGCTGGGCGTGGAATGGGATGATCCGGAGAGGGGAAAGCATGATGGCAGCTATGAAGGAACACAGTATTTTACGTGCAGGTGAGTTGGTTCACAGCATTGGCATGTCATGTGTGGCGTTGAGATGCTCATGGGAAAAGGCCCTTTGGCAATTTTTAGGGCAAATGTTTCTGTTATCAGTTGGCCAATATTAAAAAGATCATAATTCTGAGTGCTCTGACCAGCTAACCCATAGATTTTTATTTATCCTGATATTTATCCAGTTACAAGTATTAGGGTATAGTAAGTACTTAGAAAATACAAGTCATGTTTTCAGAGGTTTGTTATAAAAATGAGACTTTTGGATGTTATTATTATTAGTAGTAGGTTTTAGATTTTTTACTTTAGTTAGGAAATCAGTATTTCCTAGTGACTTTCATTAGGTAATTCTGAACTGAAATATTGGTGCATATTAAGTGTCTCAAATACTGTTTGTATTTGAATTTAAGCTGACTTGCATATATCTTGTTAAGGGAAAATGCCAAGTTCCTGTTAATGATTTGGGTTATATTTGTATCACTAAGGAATTGTAAATATATTCATTAGATTTAGTATATGCAAAACATAGTGCAGCTGTGTGGGGTTTTTAAATATATGCAGGCATTACTTTTAAGTGAAAGGGTTTGAGCACTTAACATGTTTGAAATTGTGGAATACAGGACTCTAAGATGGATATTAACTGCAGCAAGTCATTGATTTCTATGTCAGGACACATGCAACAGCTGAAAGTTTATAAGTTACATAGTAACTGGATGAGTTCATAGAAGACAGTCATCAATAACTCTTAAATACTAGAGATTGCTAGCTCAGTAAGTTCCTGAGCATGGAAGTGGTGAAGGATGAGAGAACAAAATCTATTCTGCAGAAAAATAAGAAGAAAACACCACCTGTGAGGACTGGATATTTTTTCCTTGTATCCCTAGTATTTAAATAATAATAAAACAAGGCTTGAGGAGGCTAAACACACTTAATACAAGAAAAAAAATCAACATTGCTGGATTTTTTTGTTTCAGCTAAGGAATTGGAAGTGATGGTTTCAGCACAACCAAGTCTTTAATTAATATATTAGTGGAAGTTGCTTCCTAAATGTTTTGAATTTACTTGAAACAGTTTCCAAGCTGAAGCTAGCTATGTTCTGCTGCAGGAGAAAAAAAAAATAGAAGTAATTGGCTGACCATTCCAAATCTCTCTGGACAGAAAAAGCAATTGAACATTTCATGCATGTTTATTCAGAAACTCGATTGCTTTACATTTGTGTGTGTATGATATTTATATATATATATATATATATATATATATATATATATGTATGTATGTATATATATGTATATATATATTTATATATATATGATATTATATATATGTGTATAGACTTTTGGGGTTTTAGTAGCCATTAGTGTGCTTCCAGGAGATGAGATCTCAGAAACCTTGATTCTTGATGTAAGAATCAATGTTTTGAGTGAAGCTCAATACCCATAACAAATGTAAATGTTCTGGTCTTCAAACATGTTGTTCTTCAATACCTGTTCTTTGTGCTCTGCTAGTTTCCAATCAGAAGAGGTCCTGCTGGATTCTAAGAAAATACATAGATCCAGCAGCCCACCAAGACAAACAGACATAACTTCCTGTGTGCAGACACATTTGTAGTTCTTCTGTTGACTATTGGGAAAATGTAGGCAAACTTAAGTAAGAAATAGTTACCTTATTTTAGCAAAAGGGTGCTGAAAAACAAAACTGAAAACATCCCCCAAACTCCCACAACTGAAAACATTACCTCTTTACTACTACTGATTAGGAGGGAATAATGTTTCTTTGAAGATGAATATACACATCTGAAAAAAATGCTGTATTTTTCCCCTTATCATAAGTATCCTTTGCCTACAAGGCTACTTTGCTCACTCCTTGAATTCTGATAAGCAGAAGCAGCTGATCAAGTAGCTTGTGCTGTAAACAAATGCAGTGAAAGGACATTTCAAAATTAAGGCAATTTTGAAAATAACTGCTTTAAAAAATACATCTTTCAGAGTGACATTTGAAAATAAGACCATAAGAGGAAAATGAAACTGATTTTGAGATTCTCATTACCAGAGAATCTTCTTTCTTTTCAAGTCCTTACTTGAAACAGTAGGTCTGCTTACTGTTCTATGTGATCTCTATAGTAGATTTTTTGAAAATATGACCTCAACTTTTATGTTTTATAAAAGGCAGTACATTTATCTGCCTCATTATGTGGTGATAATTTAACTTCTTATGAATATGAGTACCAAGGAACAAAACAGCCATGCTTCAAATTATACTGACATCATGAGCATGTTCATCAGCCCAGTATCAGCTAGAAATGGCAATGCACAATCTAGTGGTGGTTTTGTGTTCAGTTTTTCCCTGATAATACGATCTTGTTTCTTAATAACTGAGGAAGCTACTATTTTAGCTGTCAGTTCCAGTAGTGTATAATGTAATTATGTTCTGCAGTCCTTCAAGAGAAATGAGTAAATCAAGCCTTAAAACTGTGTTAAAATTTGTATGCAGCTTTTGAAACATGAGTGTGCTTTCCAATATGTTCTGGTCCCACAGAACCACTGACACATTTGCATGCATGTGTTCCCCTGGGAAATGTGGGTTACAGCACACCCTCCTCCCCTGGTTGTCCTATTCTTGTTGCATGATGATCTGCTTCTTGTTCCAGATTATCTGCTCCATGAAAGATCTGTTCATATTAAATTAGGCTATTTTTTCTTCAAGGATGACACATTCACCTCCAGGAATATCTACCTAGAGAACAAACAACTCTTCACATACAGGAAAGAATATCATTTTAGTGTCCACGAAAAAAAATTATTTCCATTTTGCAAAGGCAGAAAGCATTCCTAAGATTCCTGAGAAGGTTTCAGTTGAGAAGTTTTGTTCATCAGAAACTCGTGCTCTTTGCTGCCAGTAGATCTGTGTTGAAACAAAAGGTTGTCCCAAACATGTTCTGTGCACCAGCAGAACCCCAAGGTGGCATCTAAAGCTGCAGATGTCTGTCTGTCTTTCCTTGTTTTTTGAAAGCCCAGAGTCAAGTTTCATGTCTGTTTAACTAAGGTAAACTTTCAAGAACTTGAAGTACTTGCTCATGCTTGCAAGGCTTCTTCTGTTCAGTCAGGAATTTAATACACCATGGCAGGTTAGTGTTAGATGTCATTTATAAGCATTGTTTGGTGCCACAGCCTCTTTCTAAAACTCGAAGGATTTCCTTTACTGCTGTGTGTAGATTCTTCTAATAGAAGTTTTGTCTGTTGAACACCTTCCCCTAGAGGGAAGAGATCTGTTCAGGTCTGTGTAGAAAAGACATTCATGGATTCAAACAGCTCCACTTTATGACACCTTGTGAGCCTTGTAGTGCATTTGCTGCAGTCATGGTGGTAATTGCCTGGAGTTGATCATTGCAAACAGACTGTACTGGGCAAAGAAGCCCTTTGATCCGTGCTTACTGCCTAGGCTGATAAAGCTGACATCTCTCTCTGTGGCTCACAGCTTCTGCAGTCAGACAGCTCAAGTGTGTAGCTGTTATGATTTATGTACTCCTGCATTTTTCTTCAGTACTGAGAAGTGTGTGTGTGATATTTCCCTAGCATATGAAGAGCCATCATGTACCTGTAATGATGAGCAGTGCCATCACTTTGTTTTACATTAGCAAAGAATTATGCCAAATTTCCTCCTTATTCAGTGGAAGCTGACAGCTAATCTAAATTTTAATGAATATCCTTGAAGCACCCTGGGCATGGCAGCAGATGGGTTGTGTGCTTCAGGCTACTGAATCATGAATAGGAAGTGTCCTAGAAGATGACTTCTGAGATTGGGGTCAACCTTCCTATTTTAAAAGTCAGTAGGAAGTGTCAGTATTAACTAGAGCCAGCCACTTGCCAGAGCCCCACTTGTGCATATTCCACATTTTCTGCTTAAGGAAATTGGGCCATATCTTCTACCACTCTGTTTCCTCACAGTCTTTTGTTCTGGCTGCAAAACAATTTGCATACATGAGAACAAAATCTCTGTTCTCAGACTTCTGAGTGTTCATCTTAAGTCAGGTTGATCAGTAATCCGTAGGTTCTTCCATCTCATAATATGCATGCTGGATGACTCTTTGGATTAGGATTTATCTCTTTAATTCCCAGTTAGGGAGACTGATGGCTAATAGGTGTGTATATGCATTAGTCCATGTGCTGTACATTATTTGTTTGATATGTACATGCAGCTTGTACAGTTCCTATGTCCTAATGTGAAATTTCATACAGGCAGTGTGTTTTAGGGAAAATGAGTTACACTGACCTCTCTCCTTGAATGCACAATAATTTTGCCTGAAAATAGGTTCCTATTGCAGTTTCCTTTCCTGTCTTTTGTGACAGCTCCTAAAAAAGTAGATCAAATAAATAGACTGGAACTGAGAAAGAAGCTTAGGCTTTGGAATGGATTTAAATATACATTAGTTAACTTATAATAGCATGCAGAGTAATGGGAAGTGATAGCAACAGGAGAGAGAAAACCTATCACCTTTTGATCAGGACAAAAAGAGAAGTGTCTTGAGAGATAAATACACTAAAATTTTCAATTTTCCTGTAGCTTTATATGACAGGGGACAGGGTAGCTAGCTAGGTTCCTCTGCTTGTTTTGTTTTGTTTTGTTTTTTTACCTAAGGATAAACTGGTTCTTGCACAGAAAATGAAGAAGGAGATGCCAATAGAAGTGGTGACCTGATAGGACAGAAATGGGCTTAGGAATGGATGTGGTGATGGAGGAACCCAAAGGCCTTGGCTATGACAGGGAGAAATGGCATGACAGGAGGGATGCAGAAGTGAGGTTCTAGATTAGCTCTGGTGAGAGGGTTGAGGAGAGCAGAACTGTTGAGTGTTGAGGGATGGTAATGACAAAATCATGGTGATAGGAAATTGGATAGTTGTTGTCAGAATAAATTGACAGCAGGACCTAGTGTGAAGTACAGATAGACAGGAGTACAGGGATTTTTTCCAGAGCCACAAGCAGAATCCTGTACTATCTGCCATCAGTGAAGCTGTTTGACTTAATTAAATGCAGAAGTGATATATTTGGAGGCAAGAGATGTTCTAGTTCAGGTCATAAAAAGGCAATTTACTGTTTTAAGAAGAGGTATTAAAAAAGAATCACATCATTTTTACTCTTGAGAAAGTTCAATATTTTAATCAGTTAAGTGTTTGCAAGCTATGAAGAATTTCAAAGGAATGGAAGAAATTACTTAAGAGAAGGTTGCTGGATTAAAAATGTATTGAAAATGCTTATCAAACATGAAAAGTTCATACCAGATTTATATTCTTCAGTAATTTGCCTTTCTGCTTCTTTTGTAATCATTGCACTCTAAACATAGTCATTACAAAACTAGACTGAAAATATTTTGAAAGTAAATATTATCAAGTTTCTACCTAGGTCCTTCTTAAGGATATGAGAGTAGAAAGGCTAATAAATGAAACTGGCACAGGAAATTTCCAGCACTGATTTTTTTTTACAAAAATGTGAATACATGGTGCCCAAACTATTCTATCTACTTGTAATAGGTTCATAAGATTTTGGGCCTTTAGTTACTGTTTTTACTGTGAGCATTTTGAACTTTGTAGCACTGGTAGTTTATATTACTGTGTGCTAATTAGACACTTGATGCTCACATGCTGTTTTGAGAAGTTTTATTTACACAAGTGATGTCTTCCTCCTGGTACTTTCCTACCAAAGCCTGTTGTCTTCTCAGCTTGATGGCCGACAGATATTCATAGCTACCAATTTTCTTCCTGATGTTTTCTGGCTGATGCTCCTATCAGAGCCTCACCATTCCCATAGCTTGTCTCTGCTGTTTCTTCCCTGATACTGTGTTTCCTCGCTAACTTTGCTAGAAAATGTCAAAGCAATTGCGTGGTAAGATGCAGGAATGCAACAAAGTTTTTTCAGTGCTCTAGAAAAGCCAAGAAACTCCACTGGACTGACTTAAATATGCATGATTGGTTGGATATTTCTGTTGAATATTCAAAATTGTTACCAAGTTGGTATCAGGATTTTTCGAAGTGCGTGTTTGTATAAGAGTTCTGAGCGCTACAATTTGTATGTTGTGTCATTTGTGTTAATTACTAGTGAATGATGCAAGTCAAATACAATGTAGCATTCACTAGTCTGAGTATTCCTCAGGCTTTGATAAAACTCCAGGCACATTTATTGTATGATTTAGGTAGCTTTGTGTCTATCCTTAGGTAGAAACTTCTTTTTCTGGAGAACCTGACATCATAATGAGTTTGGAAATAGCAGAGCAGTTCTTTTTTGTCACAGACATGTTTTATGAAAAAACCTTTTGCCAGGATCTTTTCTCCTGAGAAGCTGGGAAGCTTCAGCTTCTCCATGTTTTGCTACTTTGGAATGTGATTTGGTGAACTGTTTACCCAGCTTGTGAAATTGTTTTTACTTGATGACCAATGACAGCCACCTGTGTTGAGGCTGTAAGCAGCAATTTTATTATTCATTACATTCCTTTGCTAGCCTTCTGATGAAATCCTTTTCTTCTATTCTTTTTAGTATAGTTTTAATATATAATTTTCTTTTAATATAATATATATAATAAAATAATAATTCAGCCTTCTGAAACATGGAGTCAAGATTCTCATCTCTTCCTTCATCCTGGGGCCCCTGCAAACACCACCACAATTTTTAATAATGGGACTGACACTGTAATTTTGATGTGCAATTTTGATTTTAGGGAGCTGGTGCTCCAGTTCTCATGGTATCTCACTATGTGAACTTCTATCAAGTGCTGTCAAAGATACTCTGAGAGTCTTACCTGGCTCGCTGGGAACAGTGATATTCACAATTAGCCTGTAGAATTGCCTTTGACTGCTTTGGCTCTCAGTACTTCTGTTTAAAGCAGTAATTAATTAGTCAGTGAATGTTAAGATAACAGTTTATATTTCAGCTTTTCCTGACTGCTCTGTTCTAGGCATCCTAAAGGAGGATCGTTCATCCGGCCAAACAAGGCAAATTTTGGCGTAGATTTTCTTACTGCAGTAAAGGATCGGTACGGATTGAATGATGAGCAGGATGTTCAGTGTGGCACAGGGAATACAGTAGTGTTTGGAACAAAGACTGTGGAATTTGTTGGCATGGATTCTGTTGCAGAACAGCAAAGGCAAGTGTCATATATGAAAATCTGAGATACATTATTAGTGATTGATCAGTCAAGTAGTATTTCAACTGTAAGGACTGCCATGCACATTAAATTGTTGTGCCAGACTGCACTGTGGTGGAGACAAGAAATCCTCCAATTGGCTTCCTAATTTACAGGTTTTACAAATACAAACTGGGATTATGTCATGTTTAAGTGCTAACAATCCTCATTCAGGTTTCATAAAGAAGCAGATGATAATATCTGGTGAGAAATGAGTGATAAATTATCATTATGTTGGCAGTCATCATACACATGCGTGGTCTTTTTAAAATAGATGTATTTTAATGTTTTCTTTGTGTTGTACAGTGTTTTGTAGTCTTTGTTTACTCATATCACAAATTAATTTCTAGCCAAGAGAGGAAGACAGAAAGTCACTGTACTGCTAGTGAAGAAGTTTTTCAATCAGTTGATGTCATGTTTATGTACCTAGAAGGATAAGAAAAGCAGTAACTTCATGATGTGTCATAAATTGCAGTTCTAATGGCCCCCAGCAGAAGAGATGTATTAGTTCAGTAGGTGGCAGTCTCCTTCTGAGCTGATATTCCACAACTATTCTCCTTTTCTCCCAGAGCATACTAAGCAGTCAAAAATACTTCTGATAAGTGATACAAAGACTGCCCAAATAACTCTAAACTTCTTGAAAAACATGTTGCAAGAAACCTTTTTAACTCAGAATTTCTAATTAAATTCCAATTCTATATTTAATCTGTTTTACCAACTCTTTATTTCAGTTGGAACTATGGTTCAACCAGACTTATTTTGTAGTAGTGATGTAAAGGCAAAAAATAGAGATGTATCTCTTTTTGAGTGCGAATGACACTGCAGTGTGGTAATCTGCACATTGCTAATTCCCAATGAGATACACATGAAAAGGATGTTATGGAGTTGTAAAAACCAGGCATTTATGTAACACACCTATTTCTGTTTGAAGATTACCTAACAGAATGTTCTTTCTCACGCAGACAACTGAACAAACTGGTGGATATCTCAGTGCGTGAGTGTGCAGTGAGCCATGCTGGTCAGGAAGAGGAAATCAGCAGAACATGTGCCAGTATCCTTTTCTTGCTGTATTGCATGATGCCATAAATAAAGTACATACTTTAGCATTCCAAATGTTCAAGTCACTGAATGATACTTGTATGCTTTTATTAAAAAAAAAACAAAAAATTAAACCTGAAGTTTATATTTAAAAGTTTAATGTAATGTTAAAAAGTTAAACAGCCAGGCGCCTACAATTTTTGAGAGGAAATGCAAATTATGCATAAAAATAGAAGTGTAGTCATAGGTTGTTATTGTGACTGCAGTTTCAGAAGGCTCCAGCAATGGTTTTTTTAACAATTCCCTAGAATAGAAAACCATATAGAAGTAGAACTGATATGTTCTGTAGACACCAGAGGTTTCCGATATATAACAAATAATGTGTTTAGTACACTGCATGCGGAGGCAGTGTTACAAAACTACAAAGCAGTTTTTATTTGTTAATTTTTAAGGACTTATAAGAGTTCCTGTCAGTATAGAAATTAATCCATTTGAGGATTTGTGTGGTTAAGCTCTTCTATAAAACTATAAGCCATTTCCGTATCAGAAATCAAAATAGAATTTGCTGTAACTGAGCAGTACCATCCCTTAGTGTAATCTGTTTCTCTTTGATTCAATACGAAACCCTAATTCTAATTCTGAAAAAAGGAAGTTCAGTTTTGAGATAAGTTTATTTTTCTTAACAAGAAATTTCAGATATGAGGCATATAAACCTATCAAAAAATCTGATATCATCTTGGGAGACAGTAGCAGCTATTGCTTCTCAAGTTCAAAATCTGGAAACACTTAATGTCAGGTATAAATATTCATATTTGGGTTTCTCTTCCTTTGGGATGGGAACAAAAACCAAGAGGCTCAGGATTCAGCTTTCTAAATGTAACTGGATACAACAAGACTCATTCTAATGGGAGCTAAGGTTTTGGTTTTTTTGAATCTTGTTTTTAAGCAGCTGCTGAAGTTGTGGGCTGTAGTGTGGGCTATATTTTTCTGACATCTGTATTCAAGAAGAACCCTAGGAATTCAGCTTCTGTCTAAAACTAAGTTCTGGAGAACATTTTCTTCAAAGTTTTAAGATTTGATCTTTGGGTTTTTTTTTATTCTTGATACATTCTGGCTGCTCAGGCAGGTCTGCATTTAAGAACTCACTTTTGTTTAGCCAACTGTGTCTTGACACTAAACATAATTGTCCATAATGCTTTGACTAAACCTTAATTATCCCAAATCTTTGTCTATTTCTGTCCTAAAATGATGCTGATAAGAAATTGTTGAGACCGTGGTGACAGATCTAGGGGAAAATTTCCTGTACAATGATGACATTGGAAAAGGAAGGAGGATGTTGTTAAATAAAGCTCCAATTCTATTGAAACAAGAAAATTCATAAAATAATTCCAAAATAAAGAACATTTCTAGTATACACCTATACACAGTACTTGGCACATGCCACAATAATTTTCTGGTGTGAAGTAACACAGTGGATTAAATAGCAGCCTAAATCACCAGGGTTTTTATTTATTCTTATCGTTATTGTGACAAAAATGTATTTTTAAAGTAGTTATAGGTGTTCTGTTTTCTTCAATATTTAGCAATGAACAGCTGTTTGCAACCTGGGTGTTGTTTGTAAATCCATCTTTGCCTGGAGCATATAATGATTTATTGTTATCAGCGTGCATGAGAATACAGAGAAATTTATTTTAATTCACCCAGAATAATTTTTTCAGTTTTTCATTGTTGAGAAGGATACTCTAGACTGAAGGCTCTTCAGAAGTTTTTTGTAAAAAAAATGGAAAACAAAAGGAGATTGATTCTGGAATCTGATGCTTACAACTACAAACTGATAGAGTCTGAATCAGTTTTGTATTGTTTTGACCTTCTGTTTGCTTTAAAACAGCAAGAAGGTAAATCTGTTACTGATTTTTTTGTGCATGGAATGTTGGAGGAAGAATAAAAGTGATTAACCATCCACCAGCTTTTATGTGGAAATTTTACCCATAAGTGTGTAACTCTAAACTACATTGAGCGATTTTTATGAGAATATGCAGGTAGATTACACCTTAGGAAAGAAATAAAAACTTCTCTTTCAGGGTGAATAATGCAAACTGATTTGAAGACTGCAGATTTGAGGGTCTTTATCTTTTCTTCTTTGTAGTGATGCTTACATATTGAGAGGGGATTTTACATACTATTGTTTTGCTGGGGTCTGGATAGTCTTGTGGGCTCTTCATTTTCAGTCAACACTAAGGAGCTTAAGCCCAAGCTCTGGCTTTGTTTCATTTAATATTAATGAAAATCATTCTTTTCATGTTGAAAACTTAGTGAAAGAGGCCACAGAGGAATAAATATGCATTCTTGAATAAATATGCATTCTGGAAGCAGGAAAATAAATTAGGAAAGAATATGTTTGAATATAACTTGAAATATATTTTATTCTATTTTAAAATATGTGACATCTTGGCAGTGATTTTAATTTTTGGAGGGTATAAATTTCTTTTTCTTTAATGTGTAGCTCCAAACTAATGACTTAAATAAATGTGATTATTCATTATGCAATTTTTTTTTAATGCAGTGAAAACAAAATGAAATTTCCATCTACATCAACTTTTACATCCAGTGCATTTTCAAACTTGAAGATTCTGGCCCTTAATCAAACTGAAATAACATGGACAGAGGTAATAGCCTTTCCTGATTTTTTTTAAATTTAATATCATTAGGTTTCTGAGGCAAGGGAAGCACAATAAATATTTGTGCATTGTATTGTTCTACTGAAATCAAATCATCCTGAGAAAAGGTGCTGTTGGGTAACTGTGTTAGTTACATATTGACTAATGTACTTCCTACATAATGAAGGAAGTGATACTGGCATAGCAGTCTAATAAGAAACATTTTACTTCATCTACATCTGTAAATTGCCAAATCAAAAGAAAGCAGTTGAGTACAATATAGCTTCGTGTCCCAAAGTTTTTTTTAAGTGAAAACCTTTTGGTTTGTGGTAGCTGTTGAAAATTTACCTGTCCTTGTCTGCATTCAATGGAACAAATGCAAAGAGAAAGAAAATATTTCCTTATGATGAGAAAAACATTGGTTTGGCCTCACTTAGCATCAGCAGGAGGCTGATTGGTATCTTTGCCCATACTGATGGTTCTTGAACCACATGGTGCCTGGTTTTTGGCAGCAGAGAGCAGAGGAAAAACAAAGCTCTGCCTCGTTTCAGGCACTGAAATGTGTGCACTTAAATGACTCTCTCCTGCTATGGTGTCTTATTAGGAATGAAGTCCTGTTGTCAGCTGTAGCTTAGCAGTGGGCCTTTTTTCAGAGATGGGGCTTGGGACGTGCATCTCAGTGTCCTGGTACTTAGAATAGCTTCTAAATTCCAAACTGTTATTTGGATTTCTCAGGGTCAGATTTTATAGTACTGCATTGTAAAGTTACATGACTTTTCAGATCAGCTGTCCAGTAAAAGAGCATTTAACAAAACTGGAGCTTGAGTAGAAAGAAGCTTCTGCATTCTCTTGTTTTGCAGCAGGACTAGAGGAAGGTCACTGCTGTGTTTTTGTTTAGTGTCCGTTCACTGTGCTCTTAGAACTGCCTGTGGGATTTATGGTAGGACAGTGGATAATCCTTCCACAGTAGCAGCAACATGAATGGTGAAGGGAATGGAAGAATTAAGTGGCTGCAAACACTTTAAGTGTCACCTGGTGCTCCTCAGAGTAAATGTGTGCATTGTGGTGTTTAAAATGTTGGTACTTGCCAGCAGCTGTCCTTCATCCCTCCATGGGGTGACTGAAGGGCTGTTGGAGCCATGGCTGCAGATGGGTTCTCCAGGGCTAACTCAATGGCAGTGAGAAAGCCCCAGCTTAGCCAGAGCAATTTAAAATGATGCAGCTTTTGGGTTTTTTCTTTTTTTGAGACTCTGCTTTAGCTGATGATTTGTCATAGGCCATAAAGACATCTTTGGTTCCAAAATCTGTTTTATACATTTGTTCCAGTTCATTCCCTGTAAGTTAGGAGACATAAGCCTGTGCTTCAAAGTGGTGTTCCAGGGCAGTCAAACAAAAGGGGAAAAATAAAGGCATGGGCCTGACATCAGTACTCTGTGAACAAATTACTTGAAAATGTCACTGCTTAGGCTCTGAGGGGAGTTACTTGACAATTCAACTTTCAAATAGAAAATAGTCATGAATATAATCCAAGCAAATGAGAAATACATTTAAATTGTTGATGGCAATATAAGCAAAAGTCTTAGGAGTGTTTTAATTTTAATGAAAATGATTTATGGTGAACAGCATTTCAAAATTACTTGTTGTTATATGTAAGAATATATGGCATTGAGATAGTTATAATTTCATGTTTTAGTTTGTTCCTCTGTTTTGAAGTATTTTTCACAGGAGAGGGACATGCTTAACTGTTATGCAGTAATACAGAGCTACACATTCACATGCCTTGAGCATCAGTTTTCAGAAAGAATTCTTTCATTAGTATATGATTTGCATATATCTACATACTTCTGAGATTATTAGTATATCAGTAAAAGAGCTTATTACTGTAGAATTGTTGATTGATTGTTCAAAACATAACATAGAACTTTCAAGGGGGGAAAAATGTCCTGTAAAATGACTTAAAGTTAGCAGCCATTGACTTAGAAATTGAATTAATGCATCTGAGTGTAATGAATTTGTATTTATGGCTCCAAACCCTTTCTTTCTTATTCAGCATTTAAATCATAATGTTATATTTGTGATTCTATTTTCAAACTAAGATTTTGTATTTATAATATAATCTACTGTTATACAGGGTAAAAGAAAAATCTGGGTTAGAACAGAAGTGCAGGATCATGCTTCTGACACTAGCAAGTAGCAGCAGGTAGTTGGGAAAAATTCTAGGCAAAGGGTAAGCACATGGTAAGAGCTTCTTAGAAAGTAATCTGGAATTGTGTGGCTTTGTGAGCTCAAGACTATATACCTCTAATTAATATTTGTGGATATTTTTGTTTCATGATTTATCTAACTGTATTAAGAACCCATTTGAAAATTTTGCTGTGCATATCATTTAACATAAATTCAACCTTTTTTGGGTTCTGATATTGCTGCCTGGTAATTTCATTTAGTAAGTCCCAATGGTTTATATGAAAGTAACTTAGAACAGCTATTCTCTGTTTCATGGTTTTAATTCCTGTTTAGCTTCTTTGTGCCTTTCCCAATTATATTATTTTCTTCCTGGGATAAACAGACTAAAGGTACAGGAACATCATGAACTTACATGGTGACAATTGTTTCTTGTTCTTATCTTTATTTCTTCTGCAATGGCTCTTGCATTTCCATTTTTCTGGTTTTGAGCATCAGTGGCTCTCTTCTGGGTATTTGTTACCTCCCCATCAGCTATCCACAATGAGGCCCCAGTCTTTCCTGGGGGTTAATTCCATGTCAGATCTCTGAACTTTTGTTTCTGAGGAAGCTATTTTAAGCAGTAGCTGGAAATTTGGCAATTTGAGTTTTTTGGAGTTGTGTTGTGACCTATCATTTAGCAATTTTCTAGTCATATTGAAAAATCTTCAGATACTTCAGGCTTGTGCAGTTTTTCTTTTTATTCCATCCAGCCATCCCAATGCTGGGCTGTGGTGGAGCAATCTCTGTTACTGAACGTGCATCTCATTTCTCTTGACTCTGCAGGTTTCTTGTCATGCTTTTTCATCACCAGTGGATACCTATTTTGGTCTGTCTTGTTGACATGGGGGAACACTATCAGATTAAAGAGATGAAATATCTGTTCCCTGCTCTTGCTTTGGAACAGGAAAAGTTGTTATATCTGAGTTGGTGTTTGTGTGTTACAGATATGACTTTTCATATTTTTGGGGGTGAAACAGTTGAGTTCCAAGTCATAGGCTGCCTCTGGAGGAGATCTCAGTGTTTACCCTTGGCATGGTGTCTTATGAGTCAGTTGTATAGGCCTGCAGCTGGATGGATTCATGCTGTGTAAAGTTAAATAGAACTGTGTAAAGTAAAATAATACCTTTTATACAATTTCAAGGCACAAGATCAAATACAAAAGTATCTTTGTTAATTTTGTAGCCCTTTTTGAATTGATTTATTTTCTTTAGAGTGCTTGAAAACTTCAGGATGTGTTGAATTCATGCAGTTCTTGGCTTTTAGTGAGTTATAGGCTGGCACAGTCCCAAGACAGAAAAGGCTTCAAGCTCTGAAAAATTAACATATTAAAAATATTCTGCAAGATGTATTATGTGTATTAGCTATACATAGGTTCTGGAACTTCTGCACATGTACAGAGTTTGTACAGCCAGTTCCTCACCTCATCGTAGGGAATACCTGGTCACTCCAACTCACTGAATAAATTATTCCGTTTCCAGTCTCAACTGTGAGGGTGAGCACAAGCCTGGGACTCACAGTCCTGTGACTGCAGAACCCCTCTGATGTCATCTGTGCTGGCAGATGCAGGCACAGGGGAGCCATCTGGGAGAAAGGGAACACTAGGAAGTCCTTAATAATTGTTCCTCTGGTTTGGAGAGCCATAGCTTGTTCTGAACACATTCAGAGCAAATATGCATGAAGTATAATTTCTGAAATATTCCCATCTTTTGTAATATTAAATGAAGTTTTGCTCTTAGGTTCTTCTTTGTGCTCAAGGATGGCCAGTACTTGAAGAGTTGTACCTTTCTTCTAATAATATTACAGTTTTGGAAAGGTGAGTAACATGAGTCAGTCAGTTGTAAGCCACTGGTGTACCACAGTTACACAGCACATAAAGTTACATTCCTGTAGCATTTACATCACCACAACAATAACTGATGCAAATTTCACATGATGTATTTCAGAACATTTATAAAGGTGCACAATTGTGTGCATGCAATTATATACTTAGGAAAATAGTGGTTTTATTGGCCAATAACTTTAAATGTTCTGGTTTTGTGTTTGTTTTTTCCAATATATCAGGCCTGATAATGTCCTGCAGACCCTGAAGTTGTTAGACCTTTCAGACAACCAGCTACTGGATGGAAATCAGCTGCATCTCATAGCACAGCTCCCCAGGTAGCTGTAAACAAATTTGCTGGAAATTCTTTGTCCTAGATATTCATCTCCGTTGTCCTTGTTGGCTGAAATGTGATAGTATTGATGTTGCATGAAAGATTCATGAGATCTTGAAATAGAGGCATTTTGCCCTCTTGAGGAGAGTAACTGCATTATTTAGTTGAGCTATTTTAATATAATCTTGCTTTTGTTGGATAATAACACATTCTTCAGCTGTGTGTTATTAGGTTTTCATTATACACTTATGAAATGAAGGTGATTTACCACACTTTGCTAATTTGCAGAATTATCATCTTACCCTGTGCACCAAAACAGCAGCCGTGATTTTCAATAGCCACAAGCTATTTTTAAAAAAAATCATTTAGAAAATCACACATTTTAAATCCAGGAGCCATTATGAAATTTGAAATTGTTGCACTTACTCACTGAAAATGTTATTATCTGAACACGGCTGAAGTCTGGGTACTGCCTGTGAGGCTGCTTTTCATTAGTCAGTGATGCTGCACCACATCAAAATCTTTATTAAGAAGAGAAAAAAAATCAGGTTGTATCTCTGTGCAAATAACTTCCTGCGCCACATACAGTGATCATTGTGTCTATTAAATTTCAGATTAGAACAGCTAATACTTAGAAACACTGGCATATCTTCTATACACTTTCCTGATGCTGGATTTGGTATGTAAAAGAAGTAATTTATGTATAGTTTTAAAATCCTGTTAATTTAAAGTTTTCACTGTTTTCTGTTACTCTTTTCCTAGGATGCAAAACTAAAATGTTTCCTTCGCTAAAACGCCTTGCAATAAATGACAATAAAATATCACAGGTAGGTTAGATTGTGATGGTTTCACATTTTGTAAATAAGTGCATCTTTGTTTAAGAGTAACTTTAAGTTTGCTTTTTAAAATTTCATTTTATGTGTAAGATTCTGAGCTAACTGTTGAACAATTTGTTCAATACAGAGGCATAGTTTTAAAATGTAAAAATATTTCTTAACATTAATGTTATGGCAGCTACCTTATAATTTCTCTCACAGAATTCTAATTATCTAAAGTTCGAATTTCTTGTTTTGGTTTGTTTTTTAAATAAATGGAGTGCAGTTCTTTCCTTAGCTACATGAACAGGATCCAAGTACTTGGTTCAGACGATCAAAAGAATTTTTCCAGTCATGTTTGTTGTTCAGGAGAAATCAGTGTTACCAGGTATTGTTCTGAAATGAAGTTACATATTTCTTGAAAAGACTCTTCCCTTCCATTTCAGTGGTCATCTATCAATGAGCTGGATAAACTGCCAAGTTTGCGGGCACTGCAGTGTAACAATAACCCCTTCGTGGACACGGAGAAGAACCCAGAGACCCTGAAACAGCTCATTATTGCCAAGATAAGCCAGTTGGAGGTTTTGAACAACTGTGAGGTGGGTGATACTTCAACAAATTGCATGAGTCTGGCAAAAACTTTAAATCACTGCCTGGGGAATTGTTTTCAGTTTCTTTTAAGATTATTGATTGTTTGGGTGCAGGAAAAGTAAAGTGCCAACTAATCCATCCCCTTGTTAGCGGGGCAGTCACAAGCTCAGTACAAGACTGAGCCCTGTTTGTGAACATTGCCAACTCAGTTGGGACTTGGACAAGATGGGTCAATGGTGGTTTTTTTTCAATGCCTGAATTGTGTTGAAGTTGCAGGACTGTATACAAAAACCATACTCGTAAAAGAAAGAAAAAATAGAAAAAGCAGCATAGTCTGATCTGTTTCAGTGACAGCAATACCAACATTTGCCTTCTGCAATAGAAAAATATAATCCACACCAAATCAAACTTTCAGCAAATGTTTATCATAAAGGAGAGCAGAAGCAGCATCTGATCCATTGCTACACAAAACATCCTTCCATCACTATATACAGCAAAATCTTTGCTTAGATATTAATTTATTGTTCAGTGGGTACACAGAGGGGCTTAATGGCTCTAAAATATACTGAATATATGGATCACTCAGTATTTGGAGACATGGTTTGTAAGATTCTTGGGAGCATTGAAACATACTGAACATCAAATAAGACCAAGGAGTCTGTGGCACTGATTAGATTTTGTTCTCTGGAAAGTTATATAATCATATTATAAGTTATAATCATATTATGTGCCATTCCTGTGTCAGTACAGATCCTTCCTGCTGAAAGAAGAGGAGCAGAGCTTGATTATCGCAAAATATTTGGAAAGGACTGGCTAGAAGCTGGTGGGCATTGGAACCCAGAGAAAAACCAACCAAGTGAAGAATTTCTTGCTGCCCATCCTAGATACCCAGCACTTTGTCTTAGTAAGTACAAGCAGAGCACAATAGCATTTCCTCACCTCTGGCATTGTGGCAGCACTGGGTTGGTCTGTTTTCAATTTCTCTTCCCCTTGGGTGTTTTTCCCATGTGCTGTGTGCTGGTTTGACCAGGAAGTGGAATTCTGGGATGCTGTGGTCAAACCAATGGGTGCTCAGATTTTGATATTGGCACCTGATGTGCCAACAGGAAAGGCCTACAGCCTTAGGAAAGCCCATGCATTGGGCAAGCCTGTGTGCCAGTGAGCTTTGCACAGAACTGCATCCTTTGGGGCATTGCTGCCTCAGGAACTCTGGCTCCTGGCCTCAGAGACTCCAGCACCTGTGTGCATCCACCCATCCATCCATCCATCCATCCATCCATCCATCTGCTCTCCCAGCAGTGGGAATGTTAAGCATTCCCTGGATGCTGTCCTGGATGCTGCAGCAGCTGGCCGAGGCTCGTGTCTGCAGCCCTGTGTGGTGCAGGAGCCACCATGGCTGTGCTGAGGGAACTCCTGCCTGATCCTGCACCACAGTGGTCCTAGGTCTTCAGTTTTAGTCTTTAAAGGGTTCTACTACTTTTCTATTTTTCTTACTTCTACTTTTCTTCCAACAGAATATGGAGCACCTGAAGAAGGAGAACTGAAGGGACAACAGCCTTTGACTCTGAAAAATCAGCTCCTGAGTAAGAGGCCAGAAATGGTCAAAATTGTTCCTTCTGCATTTAGACTATTTTATGAGCTTCATGTCTCCTAGGTGTAGATGAAGAACAAAAAGTTCCAGCTTGTAATTCTGATTTTCTGAACTGTCTCAGTGAGTTTGACTGGAAAGCTGATTCTGTGTACCCTCATTTTCCCCCTCAACCCAAGCCAAATGATTTTCTCAACTGAGATTTAATGGAAAACAAAGGTTATTGATACTCCATTCTGACAGTGTGAATGGCTTCTTTACAAAAGACATCTCAGGCTTTAATCTCACCTGCTCTGTTTTCTATTTTACCTTTTTTATAACTTCTTTAGGACAGACAAGAAAAACATGGGTAGCTTTGGTATTTGGAGCTGTCTACATATTTAATCTAGGTTGCATCCTCGACTTGCAAATTCATGTAGCTGTTTTTCCCAGCTGACAGAAGAACTGAAAATTTTTACTTCATGGGCAAAATAGTATTTTAAGGCATTACATTCTAATGCATTAATGTGGAAGAATAAATAGAATAAGGAATCTTAGTGGCTAGACATAAAATAAACCTTTGTTTAAGAATAAGTCTCTTAATCTCTGTAAAATAATTAGGCTAATTATATCCTGTGAAAGTCTTTGTATGATGCTTTTGAGAGGACCAAAAGCCTGTTTTAAACTGAATAAGCAATTTCCATTCTACTGCAGGTTATTTTAAAAAAATGAAATAGAAATTAAGCATTTTTAAGTAAATACTCATTTTGACCAAAAAATCTTTAAGCATTTAGGGAGCCACCTCTACAATATTGTAATTTACCAAAGATGAATAAAAACTTGGTTATTTTCATTAATTAATTTTTCAGATAATGACTTAATGTTATCTTAACTGCTGAGATGCAGGCTACCTCCTAATTTTTGAGAGATCAGGCTGAGCTAAGAGAAATAATCTGTAATAAAAAGAGACTAGAAAGACTGTGCTTCTGCCAGAACAGGGCTTATTGTTCTTTCACTAATGCCTCACCCTTCTTCTTTAAGCTTTGACAATTAAGTGTCCTGAGAAACCTGAACAGAAGCCAGTGGAGAAAAAACTGCCAGGTAAGAACTCTTGGCTTATGTTCAAGTAGTTGTTTCATTGCTCCTTTTCAAACAACTGTATTAAAGAATGGCAGCTGCTTCTGGCTTTGTCAGCTCCTGAAAGCTTTTCCTCTGTCATATAAAGAAATGAAAAAGATAGAAATTATTTGAAAAGTCATAATTCTTCTGGCCTTCATACTTACTTTCAGTCCAGTTCAAAGAAAGTTGATGCTTTGTTGTAAAGTTGATGCTCTGCTGCTGGTTTCATGTTTAATAGTCGGAGGCAATTTCATCCCTGTTAACAGGGATGAAATCTGGTGGATGTGTTAACCAAGTAACCAGAACTTGAAGTCTTAAGAGGCAACCACACAGTGTGTAAATCTAGATATTGAGGTCTACTATCTAATCCATTAATTCAGAAGTCTAGTTCTGACCTCCATCAAACTCATTCTTTGAAATTTTTGTGTCGTGGTGACACTAGAAGGAATAAGACCATTCTAAATTAAGCTGATATTTTGGAAAGATGTGTCAGAATGAAGTCTGAGAGAAAAGAAGAATTCAAGCTGTATTCTAAAATAAAAATCACATTTATTATCACAACTTGCATAAAATCAGATAGATACAGCTTTTACAAAAATGTTTGATAGAAAAATATTTGTCTAAGTACAATGTGTGGTATTACAGGAGTAACTCGCTATTGCTGTGCCTTTAGATAAAGCTTCAAAAGAAGTGAAAGTTCAACCAAAATACTGAGTTTATCTATTGCAAACACAGGTATCACCTCTGGAACAAACTACATCTACTCATTCAAGATCCATTACAAAAAAATACCCCTTCCTATAACTGACTTCATAATATAAACAACTGCTGACAATGTGTTTGGGACTAATAACTCAATACCATTCCCAAGAATGTCACTTGTTCCACCGTGCCATTTCCTTACTTGTGCTGGGAAAGCCAGTTCCTGGTAATGCAAAACTGCAAGGAACAGTTGCCAGATGCAAGTAGTCAGAACCTGGCTGGTGTGTGTCCCAAAGGTCACTTAGTTTAGCATGTAGAAATACAGACTCAAAAAAGGTAAATTATGAAGCGTAACACTTAATTTGGTGTATGGGATCAAAGCGCTTACTCTGTAGCAGCACATCCTGCCCTGTCCACCACAGGTGAAACCATTTTCCACTTGACAGTAGCAGATATGGTCTCAGGTACCTCAGACATTATTGCAGTGTTAGAACTGAAGCAGCAATACAGCCTTTCACTGTTGCTATATGCAAGTAAAGTGAAACACTGGTACTTTGCTACAGCTCAGTGGCAGCAGCATTTTTCTAATAACTTTTCTTTCTCTCCCCTCAACAGAGTCTATGACTATTCAGAAGGTCAAAGGACTGCTGTATCGCCTGTTTAAAATTCCTGGTTCAGACCTGAAACTGTCCTACAAAAGTTCTAAAGTGAGTTAAAAACAGATATTGAAAAACAAAATATTTCATGCTGCTAAAGGTCCATAGCATGTTCTAAAATATTATATAAAGAAATTCATTTCACTTGAGGAGAGCTGTCTTCATGCTGTCATTTAGGACCTAATTTCATTCCTGTAATATGACAGATTCTCCCTGACTGCAACTGCCTGCTATTTGGTTTATGAAGGGATTTCAGTGTAAGCCTGATTAGGTTTTTTTTTGCTTTCTCATTCTAGCTGGAAGGAAAAGAAGTTGAACTAGACAATGACTTAAAGCCTTTGCAGTTTTACTCAATAGAAAGTGGAGACTGTGTGTTAGTACGGTGGTAAAGAAGGGACTCTCTTTCTGGACTGAAGGAAAAGCTGACACAAGAACTGCAGAAGAGAGACAGACACACGGACAGCCTGTGCCTGAACAGACATACAGGTGAATTGGAGTTTCACACATGTGGCACCAAAGGGCTGTACATCTGTACTTTTAACTCCTCAACTTGATCATCAGCCTCCATGAAAGCAGCTGCTCATTTGTCCTACTGGAGCGATACCAAACTGTGCTTAAATGCTTCAATTAAATAAAACTCAAGGTCACCCTTTTGCCAAGATGTTATACTGCCTTCCCCCAGCAGCAGTGAGAATTTGCTTTACTGAACTGAGTACAGGGTTGAGTTGTGATCTCTTTGCTATCAAGACAAGATCAGTGCTGCACTGAGAGGCCACTTCCTCTTTGTTTTCACCTACATCCAACGACCTTATAGTGAACAAAACCCAGTAGATTTAGAAGTATCTACCTTAGATGATTAAGGTCAAAATCTGCCAGACCTTTCTTCTACCCTACAGTGTTAACATTATAAATAAGTTCTCAGCACACTGCAAGGCATTGCTATTTATTTTACAACCTTTAGCGTGCTGTTCCTCAAGCTTATTTTACTTTCACTTGTGTAACCTCAGATTCATATCTAGTCAGAAGGAGCTGTCCGAAATCCCTCCTAAATCAGGCCAAGTTTGCAGTACTTGAAGATTTGGTATAAGCAAACCTTGATTTTATTTTTATCTAAAATGACAATGACATAAACAAACTAATCACAAATCCTAGCCCCTATTGCTGTCCCTGTCCCTGCACAGATGAGGGCACCTCTCAGACAGCACAGAATGTGCTGCTGCCCTGGTGCTGAGCACAACTCTCACAGGAGCCTGGAACAGCCCTATACTGAATCAAATCAGTAGTGCTTCAATTTACAAAAGACAGGCTAGTTGGCATTCTTATGTGCATTTATTAATTACAAGTAGGTCTTTGACTTTATATAAAAAGGATTTTTTTTTAATCTTTAACATTTTGGTTTTTGTCTGATCGATATCTATACTATAGAAAATGAATAGTATCAGTCCACTTGTAATTATCAAAAGGGATGTGCAAATATTGTTATACTTTAGTTGAAACCCAGCATTAAAAGGTACCTTAGTATTTCTTATTGTTCCAGGAATGAATCCAACTGTACCCTTTTACATGATCATTATACACTACCCTGTTTTCCAAGGCAAGTCCATCATCTTTCCTCACATCTACATGGATCTCCACACAGTTCCTTTAATCTCCAGAGCTCTCCCAGCTCCTGGGGCGAGTACTGGGGGGAAGACAGCATTCCACTCTCACATGTCTTCTCACACAACCAGAGACCATCCTGTCAAGAGAGACAGAAACATTTCAATAGTTTTTATTAGAAAGTATCTAGTCTCCAACAATCTTTACTTCCAAGAATCAGGTGTGTTTATTGTTTCTAGCAACAAACATTGCACACAAAGATCCCAAACTGATCTTCTAGATCTATTCAGAGAACTTGGGGGTAGGGATGGAGTCTGCAGGTGGTTTGTGGCAGTTTTGTGGTTTTCCTTTTAAATACATCTTTAAAAGACTTTTTTTTTCCCTCTGGATTTTAATTCAATGGTTATTTCAGTTCATTTTTAAAGAAAAAAACCACCATTTCTCCTGTTTTATGCTACTTGGAACAGCAGCCATCTCCTCTTTCTGTAAGGTCAGACGATTCCTTCAGACTTACTTGATACCGCTTGGGTCCTACAGCTGCCATCCAGATACCCATGCTCACATCTTCACCCTGAGATGAAAATAAAAAATACAGATATGAGCACCAAGAAAGCATAAAGCATGACTGTGACCTGGAATGAGTTGCATCATCTACCAGCAGTAAAGAATGGTAACTACAAAAACCTATGCCAGACTACTGCAGGGGTATTAAAATAATCCTTCCACCTTTCCCATAACAATACACTGTTCTTACAAAAACAGAGTACAAAAAACAAGATTACAGCTCCAGAGGTTTTCAGGCCCAAACATCTGTGCTTTGAATTAGAACAGGCACTAAACCTAGCAACCAAAAACATGGCAGAAGCCCACATGAGCCAGGAGAACCCAACACTAACACTTGAGCAATGTTCTTTCTGACTCATCCAGTACATGCGGCTCCTCAGAAAAACACAGAAAAACTGAACTAATCTTTATTACCTGATATGTTTTTAACCTTTCAGAGTTGCTTGCCAGCCACTGCACAATGTCTTTGGAGATGACATAGCCAGACCCACAAGCAAAGGCTGGATATGCAGGACTTGGATACTCCAGTTCTTGCCACTTCCCAGTTCGATCAACTGCCCAATTTAGTCTGAAACTGAAGACATGTTAGACATGAGATGTTTATAGACAGGCCTCTGTGGAACCTATGAACATTGATAACTGAAGTAATACTGATAAACAACTGAGAGAAAGAAGTAGGTGATCCTAATTATGGCTCCTAGTCTTATTTCTCTAGGGCACAAAGCTGAAATTGTAACTGTTGTTTGGTCTCAATCTTGGATAATAAGAGAAAGTTTTCAAAACAGAAGCCAAAGCAACATTGACAGTCAGGTCCTCAGCATCTATGCCTTGCTGTTGGGTTTTGAACTAGGTAAGCACACACATCCTTACCTATTTTGTAACAGGCACATCTGTCTCCTGCTAATTAACCCCTTTGGTTAATCAACATGACACAAAGGCAGTGCCTCCAGCAGGCATGCAGACAGTGATTGATGTTACGTAACCCATTTTCCTGTTAAAGCTAGTGGCTGCTTAAAAATCAGGAAGCAATACTACCTTCTCTAAGCTGTTTTCCAAAAGAAGTTCAACAAAGGAGATGTTCAAAGGCTGCCATCTTTGAATTACAGAAGAACTCTTCCTGGCAGTGGTGTTCTCTAAGGAAGGCTTTATTCCCTCCAGAGGCCTGGAGGAAGCAGTCTCAGGCTGCACAGCCTCCCCAGATGCTCCCAGCGTGGCAGAGCATCCCTGTGCAGCGCTAGGGACCCTGCCAAACTGCCAAGTGAAAAGCATCCTGCTTCCCTGCTTGGGAACAGGCTGCTATTGCACTCCTCTGGCCCCACAAACACTTCATGCAGCCACAGCTCAGAGACATAACTGTGTCAGTGCAGCAGGGCTGCCCCTGTTTCACAAAGGTTCAGCACTGCTGATTTCCAGTCACGAGCACAAGCAGCTGAAAGCTTCAGTGAGCTACCAAGAACTGTCACCCCAGACAACAGCCCCGAAAGGGAGGAATCACAGCTGAGTGGCAGGGATGTTATCAGATTCTGCCCATTCTCAACTGAAGCTGACATATTAAAGCACAGAGTAAATGAAAGTCTCATCTGATACCTGAATTCACTTTAGGCACAGTACCTTCCACTCCACTGAATCACAGCACGAAAGGTTCAAGCCCCTCCAGACTGAGAAGCATCTGCTTTGATAATCATTTTATACTTCCATAGTTATTTCAGTGTTGCCCCCTACATATCACACTTGCCTGACCTGAAGACTGTGACTATTAAAGAATTTACACTCAAAGATGTCACTCCTAAGATCTTTGAGATAATCACAAGATAACCAACTATTTCACACACTTGACCACACACCTTACTAAATTGCTTTATAAGCAGCAGGCAGGATCAGATTTGTGAAGCAAAGCAGCAAAGGCCTGTTTTTCTTCAGTGGGCAGAGGGCACCAGGAAGGCACATTGTAGCATTATGCTATATTGAATGCTGTAGTAACACACACTTCCTGCTGTATTGGATTTCATACCAGAGCTGCCATGCATTCCATGGATGGAAGGGAAGATATGGGCTATTTTGATCCTCCTAGTTATTCATGAGTTCAGTCAAAAATTTATTAATCAGATCTGCCATTTCATACAGCAGAAGTGGGTAGCAATGCCTGAATTTCACAGCTGTTCCAAAAAAGTACAGACCATAACAGAAACTTTGTTTCTCTCATTTACCCCACTTCCTCAAGTCCACAAGAAAAATCATAGTGACATTACAAAAAGTAGTATTTATAGTTCTGTACTATGTACTTTTAACTTTGCTATATTGCTGGAAAATTCTTATTTACTTAAGTACCATGACAAAGATGTCTACAACACATTTAAAAACCAGGCAAGATATTCAGCAAGTTTAAATCGCTGTAAAGGCATACTCTGGAAAGTTATTGTAAAGGACTGATTTCTGATTCTGAGATTCAAAGTTTAACACATACAGTAGTCCTGCTTTTTACAGGCTGGCTTCCTTAGGCTTAGGAGGGGAACCCACATTAAAACAGACTTAAATCACTAAACCATTCATAAAGAAATGGTAACTATCTCTTAAAGGTAATTTTAAAAAACAACTTACTTTCCCCACCAAATGTTTGGCCTGTCCAATTTTTTCTGCTTTATCCTGTTAAAAACACCTTCCAAATCAATGTAACAGTCATCATCCGTCTTCAGCAACAAGTCAAAACTCGTTGATTCCACTGTCCTGCAGCCAAAAAGGGAAGTGATGAGATGCTGAGCTGCACACCACAAACTACAGACAGCAGGCTCTGCAAGGGGTTTTTGGGATGTGGGGGGGAGCAAGAGGGAAGGAACATCTTTGCTACCCTTGACTTTTAAAAGTTTTCTCTATCGACCAAGGCTGAATGCTTGTCCTTCAAAGGAGATGCAGCTGTGTCCTATGATGATCTTACAACATGGACTTGTGTATGAGCAGAAGAAAACAAATCTGAAGTTTTTTTCTCCAGGACAGATGGTGGATTTACTAATGAAAGCATCTTAAGCAGTATTGACCTCAGAAGGATATGAATCAATGACGCTGATGGCGGCACAGCTGTTAAAAGCCACTGGCTACACGTCAGTAGCCTCCTTTCAGGATGAGACAGTTCAAGGGCAATGAGAAGGCTGTAGGTGGTAAAAAACATCTGTGGAAACAACTCTGTCCGTACTCTTTCTCTGTAAATGCACCCTTCAAACATGAAAAGTGTTATCTTTACCTGTCTGAAATGGTTGAACATGAGACACATAAAATAACCAAAACAGCTTAAGATTCTAGGGATCATGGCTGGGTTGGTTACAACATTTGTAAGGGAAACTTCTTACAACAAGAAGGGTATTTTTAAAAGCCTTTTATTACTAAATCTTGAAAAATTGCTAATCTGTAAGAAATTATCACAAAGATCTAAGTGTTGACATGCAAACCTCCTTTTAGAACTGAAAGCATGTTCAGTTTTTCAGTTACATTCATAGCCATGGAA